AATGTTACAACCCCCATTTAAATGACAATTACGGTCATAAGTTAATATGGTTAGTTGCAACTTGTGTGATTTGCCCATAAACACAACCCGAAAATCAGGCTAAAAACTGCTCAACCCATTTTGATAAATTATTCTATACAAAGTGGTTAAACACCAACAACTGTAATAAAAATTTGGTCCATAAGTTATCGTAATTTTTGTTATTTTACTCATAAAATACTGTATTTAGTTCCTCCCACCACCTTTTAATGATAAGGGTTGATGATAAGAATAGACTGTGGGAAGGTTGATGATAAAATTTGTTTAATTTTAATTTTTGGTGGTAGTGAGTTTATATTTTATAAGAGATTATTCAAAAACATAAGTAACTTTATGTAGTGATATCCCACATAACAATAAACATTTACATTACATAGTAAGTAAGAATCATTTTAATAGATTTTTTTTTTTTTTAAGGTGGTGATTTTGAATTTTTAAAGTATTCTGTAATTATGTACAGCTTACGGTTTCAAAAAAATTCTCGCATTATAAACTGCTGTTTATCCATAACTGAACCAAATACCAACCAATCCACATGCAGATGACGCAAATGCCATCAATTACACCACTACCACATAAATGTGACACTTGATTTAACGTACAAAGTGGGTTTACCACGAACTCTTACTTAATCTCAACAAAATTGTATCTACTTTTTGGAGTATTGGAGATAGGCAGATAGCCTGTTTTTATATATAAAATTTACATATATATAAAAGACGAAAATCAAAGCTCTATTGAAACTTGTTTCCTTAGAATAATGAATATTTGAATTAATTAGTTAAGTAATGCAATTATACTCCTACTCAAAAATCAATTAAACCGTTTTGACTTAGGTTAAAAATTAATTTCTATCTATACACTTCTTTGAAAACAACCAAAAATAGAAAGTGTTGTTAGTTAGAGTTGAGTAACACCTTCTCGGAAATAAAGAGACCATTTCTCTCTTCATTAGCCCACATTGTTGAAGTGTCGTCTTCTTAACTCCGCTATGTTAGCTTACGGATGGTTTACTCTTACCTAATTCTGGACACTAAACATATTAGTGTAAGTGTTACGATTGCATTAAATTAGAATAAATAATAGGATTTTTCTACCTACCAACCCAAAAAATATTAGTAGTGGTAACACTGTTATTATTAGGTCTTTTTTTATTTTACAGTGAAAAATAGTTTCTACAAAATATTTTTGTGGGTATATTTTGATCATTATTATTTATAAATTTGAATAACATTTTTCTTATTTCTTATCATTTTATGATTGTCTCTAATAATCATAACTTACAAGTTGAATCCCAAGTGTGTTCGATTCAGAAACAAGATGCAATTCGTCATAAAGCTGCCAATTTATCTTCGACTAACTTCGTTGTGCAATCAATTGGCGCATCTGGTAATGGACATCTGAACTCTTTGCTGAAGGTTAACTTCCATTTGGATGTACTAGTTACAGCTTTGTATAGATTTTCTCAATCATAATAGATAAACCATTGCGCTAATTTAGTATATGGTGAAAGACAGAAAATTACCACATGCTAGTAAAATGTGCTTAGCAGTAATATATTAATTTACAAGCCATAACTATTTACTTGCAGAATAATGCAATTTGCATAGAAGTTTATTTAAAAATTCATGTAAGTGTTATTGCTATATTAATTTAAATGTTCAATTAAATTAGGCTTAGAGAGGTAATTAAACTTAGTAAATGAAGTCTAGTGTACGATATGTTGCCCTTCTTCACAAATAGAAGAGTTGAGTATAATAGGATAATTGATTAAAATCTACGGCAGACAAGTTAAATTACTTTATTTGCATGACTTATTAAATACACCAAAAGTTGAAAAAGTGAATATGTTTCTCATTTAGTTTAAAACATATTGGTAGCAACTTATATTTTATTATATGTAGTCTTGAAAAACTGTGTAAATTTTGAAAATGCCAAACCCTGATATTTGCTGATCAGCCTTCACCACTATTATGATGCAAGATACTTCAGTGGAAGGTCAAGGAAGTGGATAGGTTGCCCATATAGGTGTAATTTACTGAAGCTTGAATACACAAAGAAACATGTTGAACTTATGATGGTTTTCTTATAAAAGCGCTGAGATATAGAAAAATGCGTTTTAAATGTATAGCTTGTTTTTATTTATTTATGTTGTCTATCATATAATGTCAGATTAGGATAGATCATTAAAGAAATCAACTGGTTCTAATGTTAAGGCAAATATGAATAAGTTACTAGTTTTGAATGACTGAGTGTAGAGTTTTGTCACAGACGGAATTCGATTGGTATATACAGACAGGAATTACAATCAAAAGCTAAGTGATCATGAAAATCTGTCACTGATTTTCAACTATAAATAGCTTACAGCTTTTTCAGGGTTAACAAGGGCTTTGTAAATACCAATTGATTGCTAAAGCCACTCGGCTACCTTGCTACATGTTTTCAACTTAAAATTAACATGTTATTTCCCATCTAGTATGATTAGGCATCCCCTCTAATACTGTATAAGAAATGTGGCTGAATTTAGCAATAATATACGTTGGAATTGAAGTGTTAGCACTTTGTACATTACTTTTTTTATACTTTTTAATACTGTTCAATGAAATGGTGACCATACAAAGTAGGTTTTTTAAGCCAAGTATGAATGGAGATCAGTGTAGGATGAGTGGCACGATCTTGTAGTCTTGTTAGTGACTAAGGGCGAAATTCCTTAGACACAGCTGTTAATTAATAGCCTATCCAGCTAATGACAACTAAGGGACCTACAGTTTATAGTGGAGTCAGTTTATAGTGACTTTTGCCTTGGTATATACGAACAATTGGTCTTATTATCAGGATAGTACTTCGGATAGTCGTAGTACTCACTCGTGCGGACTTTAATCCACACTTGGGAGTATCGCATCCACAGTGCATGCCTATAAATATCCACAATTCGTGACCTCCTAGTAGCATTAAAGCTTATGCGTAAAAATACTGCATCAAACCTTGGATTTTTGTTAACGTGTTTACACTACTTTGAAAGGTGTCTGAGTCATGGCTCATATCCTGATATGACTCAATCTACTGTGTGATTCATACAGCCACAACATATTCTTGATTAGAAAGGAAGAACTTGAAGACATGATCTCTGGTGAACTCCGTGCGGCGCTGAAAAAATCGCGTATAACTTTCCTTCAACAAACACTCAAATCTTCCGGCTTCACGCACTTGGCACAACTTCGTATGGTTCGGCTAATGGTCATTTCATGTCAATAGCTGATGATTTATCCTCTAAGTATATGTCTGTGATTCTCGTTTAAACATATTCAGAATTGTCAAATAATATATCTTATAATGGATCATTGTCATAAGCTTTTCTCATGCAAATCAATTCTCAAAATATGTAAGTGTAATTATAAATATACTAATCTCGTTATTATACAGTAATTATCAAATTCAATGTTGTTAAAAAATCTTTAACTTTTCTAATAATTCAAATATAAATCATGCTGTGAACGATAAAAGTAACTGTATGCTAAGTATATTAGGATGTAGCAGTTTCATTTAAGATAACACTTCTTATTCTACAGCTTCAAATGGGCTTAAACGGAAGTGAACCATTACGCTTATTGCTCGAGCATTAAACTAACTGCTTATAGCTTCTTAAGGCAGTCCTCCCTTATTGTCGAATCTGCATTTTACTAAACCAAATTCCCCACGGATTCACTAAAACTTTATGATGAATAATAATTTGTAAATATACAATTTCCTAATACGCATTCTATGTTGTTCGACCTTTAATTCGCATTTATCATACACTTCACATCTTTTAACACCTAATGCTTTGGGAAAAGTCATTCAGCACTGTTGAAAATTAAGTATGCATACACTACAGGCAAATACGTAAAACAATTATTAATAATACAGCATTGTACTTTGCCCGCAATTACTATGGTTTATCAATTCTTTTAAAATATTATCTTCATTCCGAAATTTGCATCCGTGAAAGTGGTTGATTGAGATTATATTTGTATGAATGTTTAAACTATTTGGAAGTAAGGGGAGATAGAAGACCATTTACAAGCTAATAAATAAAAACCGACTTTTAAAATAAATAAAATTTAATCAGGCTCAAGTGGTATGACAACTTAGACATTCAAAGGTTTGGAAAAATACTATTGCAAGAATATTGCTATACATCCTGTTAAAGAAAGCTCATTATGTTATCTTGAATATAGTGCGATACATCGAAACAATAAACATTTTACATTCCTACTATGTGGACTGTTCAGTCTTCAGGTACTTTTTGTTTTCTATTAATTTACACAAACCAACCGAGTATCACGTATGTAATTGACAACTAAGGTTCAACTCAATTTTCATTTAATTAATAATAGTTTTGGCTGTCACAAAGTTTGAACCCATGTAAAAGAAGATAGGTTCATGCTGTTGATTCGAGATCACATTTTCATGACCAGTATCGATACAACCAACACACATTTAAAATTGTTGTAGTCATTTCCCATATTTTTCTCTTGATAAAAGAGTTTCCCAAATAGATTAATTTAACCAAATAAATAAATTAAATAATAAAACAAGTTAAGTGTATCACATGGAGTTAGTATATACATCATTAAAATAACTTAATAACTTAATATATAAAGAAAATTGTCTTTACGAAGATCATTCTTCTAAGTAGACAATGTCTTATCATGGTCGTTCAAAGTTACTTTCACTATTTTGGCAGAAGTTCGTGAACTTTCTAAATGTCAAACTTTGATATTTCGTGATCAAACCTAATGACCATATACCTAGAAATATACAATCAAATTCGCCAAAATACATTTTAAAATTTTGCTAGCATGATAATTTATATTATTCAAGTGGCTTGCAGGTGATTAAGGGCATTTATAAAATAGATTGTATTGTTGGTATTTTGAATTAATTATAACTTTTGTAATACATTTTTATTTCTGTTTCAGGTTACTTTGAAACTATTAAACGTAAGTGTTTCACACTAAACTACAACTGCTTCTAACTACAAGCTATTCTAAACTTCTATTATGAGTTCTCTTTCGTATAGCCTACAACTAAACCTATATTTTGTAAGTCGAATCATTACTATTTATTGTGTATACATATTTACATACTTCATAAAGACAGTAATGGTAAAATATACGTCAAAAATCCGTATTATAGGGTTTAGTTATATACATCAGCCACTATACAAAAAACATGGAAGTAAATAATTCAATAAAAACTGTGTCAGTAGTTTATTAGTGAGGAAAATCAGTAAATAAAAAATAACTTAAAAAATCATTTGAATTCTTAAAATAATTTTAATAACCACTTTATTTGCACGGACCTTTTTCATTTTAACACAATTATAGGATTATATGCTTTTAAACAATTAAATACGAGCCTTTTCATTGTTTGATTTTAAAGTGGTTAACCTCTTTTAACCCATCAACATAGACTATGGGCCCGTGCGTGAAACGAATCAAGGCAAGGATTGAGCCAGTATGGTACATGGATGAACTGTACTGATAAAATGTTTACGGCAGTGATCAGGATTCGAACCATCGACATCGCTGCCTTGGGCCCGAAGTCCGGCTACCGCTACCAACTCGCAAACGAAACTTAAACTACAGTCACCAACGAGTTCCCAGCCTGGTTAATCTAATTAGTTCAAAAATTAATAACCGTTTTCTTTTACTTCTTCACTGCTATTATATGCCCATCTCTAGAAAATAAGAGAATTGGAATCGGAAATTCAACAAAAGTAAGAACCAAGTAAGAATCACGTTCTGAGTTTAGACTTCTATGGTCATAAGTTTTATGGTCAGTTGACCAACAATAATAAAGAAAATAGTTTGAGCATTGAAAATTTGCGTAAGAGTTTGATTGAGTTTAAAGATAGTTTTCATTAATCTAACAACCACATAATTCTTTATAAACATCGAAACATTATTAGACAAACAATCAGTAAACTGTTATTGAAAAAAATTTAAATAAACCAAAAACTTATTACTATAAACAGACGACATCTTGCAGCTAACGACCGCAAAACACGAAGACACTTTTGTCATTATTTATCTTTATGAAGATCAAACATTCCAACTTCAGGTCTCAACTTTCTTTGTCGCATTGTTAAACTTGATATTAAGTGCGGCACTTTCTTATCTTATGATGCCTAAAACACCCTTTTGCCATCAATAGTTTTGTCGTTGGATATATTTGTTTAACTATTAAAATATCTTTGTATGCCTGTTCTGATAATCAAAATGTCTCCTATCTTATCCCTACAACATAGCCAGTAAAATTTAAAATTGCATGGTAATATTTATCTTTATAGTATTTTTTTTCACAGCCGAGATTTAATACTATTTATGTCGGATGTAATTCATCAAATCGGAAAAAACACATGACAATGATAAACAGGGACTAAAGGAGACTCTACAAACCAAAGGTGTGATTTTTATAGACTAAACAGACATAAATCATAAAAAAGAAAAAAACTGTACAATATTCATGTATTTAAAATTGGATTAAAATACTAGCCGTATATTTACAAAATAATTCAGTGCAAGGTTTCAAAAGCAAACACATGTCTAACTACCATAGAGAGTTATGTCGAATTAATAGGGAATTCATGATGAGCATAAATTTAGGAAATGAAGCATACAAATTGTGAGGTCAGAGGTCCTAAGTAAACCTGAGGTTCGTTGCAAAGGTATATGATGAGGTGGAAACATCTATGTTGATTAGACTGAGATTGCTTTCTGACAATTCTCTTCATGTTGTCTGTGACTTTTAGTTTATATAAATTGTACTTGCGGTATATTTCATTTGTACTTCCCATATTACCTTTTAAATGCTATTATATTATTATAATACGTGATTCTTAATTTTTTTTTCAATTTAAGATATTTTATTTTGAAGATATAAGTTTTAATAAAATAAATACAGAAAGAACATTTCTTATTCCATAGATAAATACTATGGGACCAAATAAACCTAGATTTCTTTTGCTAAACCAAGCAAGCTTAGAGTACAAGGTTTCACGTTTCATATTATTATTATTCTGCTAAACCTTCTTAATTGTTTTATAAATATTTTTACTCGGACTTAAAAATAATCTTATTAGATGTTCTCTTTAAAACTACAGTTAATAAAATAAACATTAGGTTATACGATACATTATTCCACAGTTCATATAGTTTTTGCACCTTAATCAATTCTTACAAACTAGACCTTAAAAATAAAGATTATTCAAAACTAACCATAAGCTAAATTAAACCTTTCAAATGATAACTCAAAATATTATGTGGTATGATACAGCAGCCAACAGTTAATGTTACAAATATTTCAACACTAGTTCCGAACCATTAAACAGCCCTACAATGCTACCAACCCTATATATTTAAGGTTACACTTATTGAGAATTCATGCCTGTTGTTCGTATATTTCAATGTTCAAAGATAATCCTTACGAAATGTGATTTTTAACTACACCAGTCGTTATAAATATGTATATTTAGCATGCCCATGGATACAATTTAGAAATCTCTCCCAAGTACCAATTAACCATGTTATGCTTAAAATAAAATAGCTTGAGAAAGGTATTCAAAATAAATGATTGGAATAAGAAGCTTTACTGATTAAAAGTTAGCAAACAATATAACAAACTAAAATGTGCTTGATTCTAAATTTGTTGTATGGAATGTTTGGATGTCTTAATCTTTATCGAAAACAATTGTCAAAAATATTAATAATTTTACTAGTTTAACTTTTGAAAAGCAACAACGTAGAAGCTGCGTTTAACCCTTTTTCATAATATAAGTTTTCAAGCCTTCAGTAATAAAATACCAATTCTTTAACAAAACTGAATTTTAATCAATTATAACAGGCATCTTACAAATTGTTTTAAAATATTAGATGGAAACTGATGTGTCTGAATTTTTATATTTAAATATTATAATAATGTTTTAAACCAAAAAACACGTGAGATACAAACACATATTTAATATTTAATACTAAAAAAGTGTATAGATGTCATAACACTAAGTACTGAAATCTTCTTGGATAAAAAAATTTCTATTGTATAATCATATTTTTTAAAGGGTAGCAAATAAAGTATTTATCCACTTTCTAAAGTGTTTCTATATTAAACTAAGAAAATAGTAAGCGATAAAGAAATTAATTAATTTATAACGCTGGTACTTTACTTAACCTGATCAAACTAAATATGCACAGAATACAGAATCTTTTTTTTTTAGTTTTTCCATTTCGAAGCAATCACTTGTAGCGTATGAACAATTAATTCCATGGAATGATTCGCAACTGAACATTATTTAACAGAACGTATCTAGGATAATCCTGCACTTGTAAAGGACTTTTTTTGTAAAAATGACTCTTTGTCTGATTTAACTGATTACTTTTTATTCATTTGTTAATGTAACCTCATTGTTTATTTATATGTAATGTACTGACAGTGTTTTATTTAACATAACTAAGGCGAGTGTTTTGGTATTTAGTCAACGTTTTTAAACTGCCACCTTCCTCCCCTTATAGCTTTAGATTTAGAAGGAGTTTTATTATTCATGTGGCATCACAAATAAGCAATCTTTTTTAATGTGAACCATTATTATTGGGAACTTACGTTTTATTGATTTTGAGCATTTGATGATATCAGTACTAACAAATGTTTATCGTTTTAATCGTATTATGCCAATGATTTCAAATTGTTTTAACTTGTTACGTTTTGTGTTACATTGAACGGTAAATTATGAATTACAGTAAGAACTTTGGTTGAAATTACTTACGTTTTTTCTACTCAAATGAGGAATACAGCATTTTATAGAGCCTTGCCCTAGTGGCAACCCCTATCAACCCAAACGTATCTTCTAAACGCATTATAAAATAGTCATATTTATTGATTATATAAGCTGTTTTGTTCTATCAACAACTAGTGATAAAAAAGTGATTGTAAACCTATCAATAAATTGTAATATATGTATTAGGTATGGTTAATTGAGTATGGTATGGTGACTGTGAATATGGTATGAGCCGTGATATGAAGATGGTAACATATAATGCTCTAATAACAGTGTATGGATGCCTTGAAAGATAACGATTACTCAAAAACATTCAATTGATCATTGACTTCGCAATGTAAGAGCCTCTCTAAGAGTATGTAATACGCAAATATTTAAAGAAATTTGTTTTACAGTTTTTGTTTTCCATCAAATAGAACTTTTGAAAATATAATAGTAGCTTAACACGTTACTTCACTTACTAACGTAACGCATAAACAACATTTGGGATAGTAATAATAATAAGCCATGGCTGTTTTAAATGCCATTGGCGTTCACTTTTAATAACTACAAGGCTATGAGAAAAAGATTTCGAGAAGATTAATGCAATCGTATGAAGGTTTCTACCTCCCTCCCTAGAAGGGCGTTATACGCAAAGGGTCAAATTAGTGACGAGCAAGAGGACTATATTTACGTTTCTTAAATCGACTCTGCCTATAAAACCCTAATTTTCCTTATTTTCTTAGTTTATCTGTTTTGTGTATTTAAAAAAATGTAATCCTATTAACATTGAAGATCATAATTTTCATTTCTGTGTACTTTGAGAGCAAAGTAATACAACGTTAACTTAATTGCTAGTTAATCTTTTTGGTTCTGGCTTATTTAAAACATATTCCAAATTTAATATTTATCTATAGGCAATGGATAAAAAATATAAAAACTTTTGGTTAAGTTCCACGCACATGCTCATAGCCTGTGTGGACGGGCAAGTGCAAGGATAAAAGAAGCCGCCATACTTTAAAAATATATATATATATATATTTAAAATTGTACTAATGGTAATGACAAAGTCATGCAATACACTTAACACACAGGCACTTTAATTTAATATGTATTTTTATCAGAGAAACAACGTTGTTCTCAATTGCAGAATACATTAATACGAAAATCCAATCGAGAATGTAAGCC